AATTCCCTCTGCTGCTTAACATACCAAGTTTTCTCTTATATCCAGAACTCCTGCAAACAGAAGTGGAACAAAGAAAACCGGTTGCACCATAGGAAAAGTGACTGATTTGAAGTGGCAGGTGGAGTTTTGCTACCATTTATTTTCCCCACAGAAATGCTCAGTGTATTTAGGTCTTCAGCAAAAGTTAATCTGGGACATGGGTGGATCAATATGAGCAATTACACAGTGGCCACAGAGAGACTGGCACTCTTCTGCTCTAGGTGATCTACTTTGAATCTGACCTTCAGAGACTGTGAATGTTTTTCTGCACAGCTTGTTCTGTGAGGTGAAGGAGAAAGCTTAGACTGTGCCACTGCGCCATATGGAAAGTAAAAAATCCATAAACAAACAACTACATTACCAATGAATAAGTATGAGGTCATCATCATATTTTGATTTTTTTTAAATTAAATATTAATCTGTGCACAAATTACAGGGTAAACCAAAAATGATTTTAAAAAAGCATTATAATTTGAGAAGCTTCAAAAGGAAAAGAACAAAAGCAAAATAAAGCAGCATAGAATTGGGACTAGAAAAGTTCTGCTCCCTCTGTTACTCATTTGTTGGTTAAGCTGTGCTTTCTTCCTCAGTGACACATTTTTTGGTTAAACTGTGCTTTTAAAATTATTATTATTATTATTATTATTATTATTATTATTATTATTATTATTATTATTTATTACTTGGTAGTCTTAATAAAAAAGAAAAAATAGGGACTAAAGAGAACAATTTCACTGTTAGAGTACTTTCAAATTATGTTCTTTTAACTATAATTAATGGATATGTAATGAAAATAATGAGCAAGGGTAAAAATTTAAGTTTAAAGAGGAGACTATTTTAGTTGGACATAAAACCACAAAAACAGATTAACAATGACTTATAAGACTTTTCAACATTTTTGACGCCTCAGATGTATCTGTTTAAACATCAGCTGTAGTCACCACTACAAGCCAGTGAAGACAAGAAAAGATGTCTTTCAGAAAGTGAAGATAAAGGGATTATATCTCTTGGAGTAGTGGCTCATAAAAATTTATGCAGTTGTAAATAATTATAAAATACCTGATGCTTGTAATGCTTGAACACAGGAACTAAAAAAAACCAAACCAAACCAAACCAAACCAAACCAAACCAAACCAAACCAAACCAAACCAAAAAAAACCCCAACAAAAACAAACAAACAAAAACTTTATCTTGAATTTAATCATTGACTTTGTTGGTAGAACTCATGATTTATACTGATGCAACTGATGCCACATTCTGGTCCATTCTAGTGTGTATTATATCATTTACAGTCTACAAAATATTACTTTTGTTACTTTTTTTTAGTTTGATATATAAGTTAAAAATGTTTAATTTATAAACAGGCTTTTGGATGGCTTTGTAATCTGAATGGGTTGGGTCTTTGTCTTGTTTAGAAGCTGATGCTAAAGTAGTAAGTGATAGTTTGATTATACTTTAGGAAGTGTCTGACTGAAATATTTCAGAAACTTCACAAAAATATTTTTTGGTCACTGAACTCTTGCCCAAGGGCCTAATTCTTCCTTTTTAGGTTCTAAAGCAAAGTACCAACCAAACTGTTTACTAAAAATCAATGCAAGAACTTTTTTTCAGACTTTGATTCCAATATAATCCCCTTTCCTATAAAACCAAAACTACTTATGAACTAAAAGATTCCAAAGTTCTTTATAAATTCTTATGGATGAAAATATTGTTCAAATCAATAACCAGAGCATACATTATCACAGCCTGCCATAAATGAGACACAATCATTTACCAGCCTGACAATGGAGTACAGAAACAAGTGGTTAGCAAAGATAGTTATGAATTTTAATTGTTGTGAGGTTACTAATGAAAATATGTCTCTTAAATATGTTTTCTACCTACACCACTGACATTGGTGTTGTGCTCAGCTGTATTCTAATTCCAAAATAGAAGTAGAACAATTCCTTTCTAGGTGAAATTGTTGATAAAATTATCTTTGATTGAATATATTAATGACTCACTGAGATAATGATGTATAAAAGACACTTAGATTCGTTCAAATGCTGATGATAAAATGTCTTATATCAGTAAGCTTCACAGACTATGCCTTGATCTTTGGAAGTTCTAGTCTCTGCATAGAAGATCTCCAATACCACATATTTTATTTAATTTCCTTTGCTTCAGTGCAATCATCTTCAGTTCTTGATCTTTATCTATGGTTACTAGAATGAATTGTAAACACTTTGGAAACTTTATTAAATAACTATCTTTCTCTAGAAGTAATTTCATCAGATTTAATGTATTTTGAGAACGTAAAACTTGGAGCCATGTTTTTTGTCAGCAAATAAGTGATATATAATAACTGACATAACTGAATATCCTAATTTTTTTGAACCTATCTCATAGATTTGACACTCATTGGGAAATCAATTGAAAAAACCTGTTAACAATATGCAGATACTTTCTAAGAAGAATCAAATTACCTGGCTTCTCAAAATGATTTCTGGGGATGAAGCCTATCATAGCTCTACTATGAATATGAAGGCCTTGAATAGGATAATTTATTTGAAGGTAAAAGAGACTTAGAAATGAAGCTAATGAAGGCTTTTCACAGTTATTTTCCCAAGTGTATGGCTTTCCAATGAATCTGAAACATTTGAGGCTTTCAGACTGCACGAAATTCCAGGCGCTTGAGTCAAGGTCTGACTGCAGTGACAACTGTACCCAGCCATGAGTCCCACAATCAACAATCAGCCTTCTCTTCAGTTACCTGTGGAAATACTGCTAAAGCTATTTCTGTCAACCAGTTTTTGTTGTATAAAAAACACCTAAAGGGCAACAGAGTTTGGAAGACATGGAATAGATAATAGCAGACCCACTGGTTAAGTGAATTTTTTTCTTTGCTGTAGAGGGGAAGGTGTCTCTTTTATTGATGTTGCTAAAAGGATCAAATTCCTTTCCTGGGCTCGTAGACTTCACATAACTTACACACAATGTGCACTTGTTACATGCACTTTAGAAGAGGAAAAAATATATTATACTGTTCTATCCTTGCCCTTCATTAATACTTAACTGGAATGTTGCTAGTTTTTTGCTATTTAAAAAATTAATTATTATTTTTTAATTACTGAGGACTTAATTGTTGGTGCAAACTCATCAGATGACCGTTCCTAATTTTTATTTTTTATTTCTTTTTTTCTGGAATTTTTATCAACAGACTATGAAGAAAGCCCAATTTTAAAGTATATTGATATATTTACCATTTCAGTTTATTCCTTTTAAAAATGTTTAACAGAGTTCCTTCCTTCTCAGAATGCCCAAAGCATGGAAACACACATATTATCTTCATTGATTTACACTTCCTTTCACAAATCACTGTAGGCTTCCTCACTTTCTCTTCAAAGAGACTCTATTATATTTGTTTAAAGTGTACTCTATACAGGCAGAACTGAATTCGCTTGAAACTGATACTCCTCTCATGCCCACCCCTCTATAAACAGCAGATGCAGGGAAACTGCTGTGAATGACACGAGATAATCCTTGAACAGCTGACTAAAAAATTAAGTTGAATGTAACCCTCTGCTTTCAAATATCTGAAATAGTTCAACCAGTTTTTCATTTTCCATGTTTCATCATTTCCTGTTCCAGCTTCTGTCAAAACAAGCTAGTATTGAAAGTTACAATTAACAAAAAATTAAACTCCAGCTCTATTTTCATAGGATTTTAACTTCAGAGTTAGGCTATGTTTGGACAGACATAAAGTAATTATCAAAATGCTTTACTGGTCTTGGATTAAAATGTGATTTACACATCGTGATCAGAGAAAACATAGTGAGTTTTGTGGAGATGAGAGGAAAAGGTCATGTAGTGAAAAGTATCAACTGTGTAGGTAGAGCATAGAGACATCAGTGTCACAATATTTGATATTTTTCAGCTCCTTTGTAACATGAATCTGTCATATTGTCAATACAAATGATACAACCCACACCTGTTAGTAAAATGTTGCATATAATGCTGTTTTGTTCTCTCCTGCTCAACAAAAAAAATTCAATATGGTACAAGAAGTTACCCATTTTTCCTTTTCAGAACAAAACAAATGTCATGAGATTAAAATACAGCACACTTGAACAGAATAGCTTTTGCAGCTGAGGACAGATGCACTCTACTGCTTCCCTCAGTGTTGCAAAAAGTCAATAAAAGGGGGATTGTTTTTATCTTTCTGATTAATACTACACATGCCATTTTAAATGGTTCATTCACACAGCACGTTTCCAGAAAGAGGAAAAGATTGCTTTTTGTACTTAAAGACCATGTGCAGAGTGGCAAAACTATTCTCATGTACAGATAAGCAATCTTGTAAAGTGCAATTACATCTGGCATTTAACCTGCAGTGCTTAAACTACATTTACGATACAAAGCTGGACAGAACTTATTTAATCAAGCATAATCTGTTAAACAGATGTGCTGCTGAGTACAGAAATTACCAATATAATTAAATCCTATAATGGAATTATATTTTTCTTCCCTGAATAATTTTAAAGCTATTCTTACATAGACTTCCATTGTGATCAAACTGTAAATCTGCCTTATTAAAATTATTTCAAATGAATAAGCACATTTTATATTTTATGTGTTCCTGAATACTTCAGCCTCTACGCTTTTATACTCTCACATACTAAATTTGTATTACCTCTAGAGAATAATTGAAAGGCTTTTGAAATTAATAACAGAAAATAGAGAAAAAAACTGCACAAAATAACACCACCTTTTCATCTCTCTGCATCTCTGAGCAATGTTAAGATTTTTCAATATTGTGGAAACTGTAAAGTCGCTACTGTCAAAAAAATCAGCTTGACAAAATAATTATGCCATACCCAGGCTAACATTCAGCATGTTCTTGTCACTTGCTGCATTTTCATACCATATCACAGAATCCAACATGCAAACACAATATTTAGTTTACCGAACAGACTTCTGACCTCTTATTCTCCCTCAGCACTTTGTCGCCTTTCTTCCAAGTGATAGTTGGCTTTGGAGAGGCTTGTGGCTTGCACTCAATGACAACTTCTTGGCCCTTGGTAACAATTATTGTTTTCTTCATTTGATTGAGTGGGAAAGTGGGAGCTGAAGCTGTTAAAAAGAAGTAGATTAACTCTACAGAGAACAAGCAAAGCATTCTGCTTCATTATGTTCTAATAGAAGAATAGAAAAATAGATTTGGTTTTGGGAATAGAATCTCTATTTTTCTCTTTGAAAATATTATGTCAAAATCAAAATTTTACAAAACATTTGAAATCAGCACCCAAGATTATATGGTAGGTTTATAACTTAATCCAGCCACAGATTAATGAGAAATCTTTCACATCAGCAGATTAGAGTAAAACTACTTGTGAAATCAAAAAAATTTAGAAATTAAATAATGCAAATGTTTTAGTTACTATTTTCTCTCTTTTTTTTCTCTTTTTTTTAGTCAAAAACTTGTTAGAGGCAAATAATTAAAAACAAAACGAAGTTTTAATTCCACAGCAATTCAAAATGCACTCTCTAGAATTAATGCTCACAGAAAATATTGCTGTTAGAGAAATTTTATTGCTTTCACTTCTTACAGTTGTCCGAATACTGGGAATATCAATATGAGAACTTCTTAATAGGTGATATTATATCTTGTTCTTAATATTTCAGTTTTTAAGAAGTCCCATTGTTTACAAACAAAAGCTAAGATAATAAATGCTTTACAAAATGACAAAATTACTGTAATTTCACATCAAGAAAGGACATTAGTTCTCAAGTAATCTCATTTGATTGTGGTTTTCTTTAACTACTTTTGCAAAGTCAAAGGCTCCTATCTCAGCTACACTTACCGAGACACTACATTCATTGCCTCAAATATGTAGGAATTTCCTACCATTATTTTGGTTAATCCTCATACCAGAGATATTTATATGGACAATTTATTCTGTTCTTTTCCCTTTGGTAAGGCAGCAAATTAAACACAATTGCTTCTTTAGTACAATATTATGGTTAAAATTTAACAGGGGTACAATCTTGGGAGTGAGAAAATGAAAAGCTAATTTTACTGCAGCAATATACAAGGTCTATTTCTGATGTTAAAGAACATCAAAGAAAGTGTGCAATTACCTGACATGCTAGGTATACCTATTTTGTAACAGATACAAAAATGGAGAAAAAGAATGCTGTAGCCAACAGGTTTGCAGACTGAATCACAAATGACCAAAAAAAAAAGTGATGAAAAGAGAACAATCACTGGTCTTGGCTTTTAACTTTATGGCTATAAAGAAATTATTTTAAGACTTATCAGTGAAATTCTAATGTTGGCCAGCTAGGAAATTGCTGAAATGTATGAGAAAGGTTATTTGCCAAAAGAGCCAAATGTTAGCTAAAATACAGTATATTTCTGCAATTTTAGCTTTGTTACTCATTTGACTGGGAGTTTATAGGAATGATTCACATGTGCAGGTCTAATCTCTGATATGGCCATTAAATGACTTTAGTGGACACCTTTCTTCCTGCTCCACCACACCCTAATAAAGATGATACAAGGCTTACAAGTCTGTCTCACTTAATCCTCTGGAAGGGCACTTATCACTATTGCTCCACTGCATGTTGCTACAGTTTGCTTTAAGGAAAATTAGAGTGTTGAAAAGTTCTTCAAGTTTTTCTTCATTAACTGCCTGCTTCAGCTTTTGGGTAATGACATTTTTATCGTATTTCTGGGTAATGCTATGTAGTGTATTTGCTTTTCTGTGGAGGGTATTCACCCAAGTATGTAACTTATATTATTCTATCAGTTTTGGTGATTTCATAAGATTTTTTTTTTTAAACTAAGGTCATGCATAATTACCTTTGAATAATGGCCAAGTAGAAATTATAAGTTAATTTTAACAGAGATTAAAATACTTTTACTTCCTCTAAATTTCATCTCCCACATATATGTTTGAGGCAGTAAAATTTTTTTTCTATTGATTTGAACTGAATAGACTTATATGAGAAATACTCACACAATGTTGCTGAGTCAGTTATGTATGAATGACAATTTTTGGTTAACAGAAGGCCCTATGCTCTCTGGGGCAGCAAAGGACTCACCCACACATAAGTAACAAGAATACAAAGAAACCACTTTTATCTGCTCTACTGTTTGGACTGGCAGAAGCTGTTCCTTGTCACAACAGTCTAAGAAAAAAATTAATTCTCAAAAGGGGAGAAAGGAATATCTTATTCTTTTCCAATACTTACCTAAAATCTTCAGCTCGGCACTGGCATAAATTGTACCATACTTATTTTCTGCTAAGCACTGGTACATTCCAGCATCTGAGACATTCACACTTTGGATCATCAGAACACCATTAATCATCTCAATTCTGCTCTGTAATAGAATTAGAAAAAAAACTTCTATAAAAACAAATAGGCACTGGGAAATGGCTGTGCTATTAGCTTAAGAGGAAGCGACAAAAAAATGACCTAAAAATAAAACTGAGCAACAAATTTCCTTGGCCTTACCTTTTTCTTGTTATACAAAAAATCACAAGAATAAAAAGCCAAAAAATATTTGACAGTAAATATTTTCAGAGTAAATTCACCATATTCAAATCTTCTTTTTTTCTGTTTGCTTGTTTGTTTGCCTTTACCCTTACATGATTTTTAAAAGCAGTTCATCCTGGGAATTTTAAGGAGGCAAGAAATCATGTGTGGATATAATATATCTGACAATCTTCAAATATAGAGCAAATATTTGGTCTCAATCATGGTGCTATTTTCATAAAAGCAGACATGAAAGATTGATTGCATAAGTAAGAATGAAAGGATCCAATTGCTCTCATCATTAGTACAAATTCCTTATTTGAAAGGTCCACTAGTAGAAAACAATTATCACAACTGGAAGAGAAATGACATCAATAGCTGCTTATGGAAGTGAGTATTTCATGAAGCTATAATATGAATAATTTGAAGTTCTATAAAATAACTTTAAGTTTCACTATAACAGTTGTTGTAAGTTAAAATTGATAAGGCATAAATTGTTTGGGAATGCAGAGGAAACTGTGATAAAAAATTCACTTTGTTGTGAACCCTCACCCAGCTCAAAGTAAAATTTAATTTAAAATTTCAGAGCCTGGAGAAACTAATGGTTTGGAAAATCAGAGAACCAAAAAGTAGAGATATTTAAATTGCTTCAATTTCAGCACTAATAGCTCCATCTAAAAAGGCAGAAATGAATAGAGCAACCTTATTTTCAATGCCTCACAGCTTCAAAACTAAACTGTTTTTATGTTTCCTTTCTGATTGTTTCCATAATTGGTTGATGTTCACAGATAGATAGAAGGGGCATTTGCTGAAAAGGAAGACATTACATCTTTTATATTCATAAATCCATTCCGTGAGTTCATTTGCAAATATAGATATTTTTTTCCAGAATCAAACAACTTTATAAAAAGATAAGTAAATTTATAAAACTTTTCTTTACTCCATAACCTGAGACTATAAAATGGAAAGGTATTAGGCAAAAAACCCACGTGTTGTGCAATGATGCTATGATGATTCAGTGAGAGAAACAGAAAAAAGTGAAATAAAAGACAGACCATGACATCAGTGGTCTTTTAAAAGAAAAAGAGAATTTTGTTGCTGTTTAATTCTAAAATATATCAGGAGATTGTAGTAACACACTTTACATTCTGAGTCTTACATGAACCATTTTAATGGTCTTCATGATGAGTCCTGTTACTCGCAGAGAACAAACTGAATTGAAAATGTGACGGTCATCATACTTTTTGCATTAACCAAACAGTGATATCTGAAGAAGCTTTTAGTACTTTCTTTACTAGCATTATCTGAATGAAGGAGAAGCCTCCCCCCCACAGGTGACTCCTTGTCCAGTGTACCTGTGGCCAGAGGGGAGCTCCGTTTTTCAGCCAGCGATATGTGGGCCGTGGCTTCCCGGTGGCTTTGCACTCCCATCGGAGCTGATCTCCACTGTCCAGTTGTGTATCATTCAGTTTCTCCACCCAGTGTGGGTAGGCTGCAAGGAAAAATTGCCCCCTTAGAGTCAAAGATTATAAAGTGGTGATTCTCTAGCTGATATGCAGAGACCTAATCAATTAAAAAGCTTAAATTAATGGACCTTGCAAGACTTACCTTACTCTCAGAACAAAGCACATTAAAAAAAAGGTCCAAATCAAAAGAGACAGTAATAATTAGCAAACTCCAAACTTTAAAGGAAGTGCTGTAATGGTACCAGGTAGTGAGCAGTAACATGACCTAAGACAAATGTTTGGTAGTCACAATAGAACATTTCAATAATCATTTACAAGTCCTAAGATATTTGAATTGTGATGAAGAGGTTAATTGTCATAGCCTCTGTTTCTGTAGTTTTCTCAGCTTACAAGCAAATCATTATTTAGCTAGGAATGACTGGGGATTTGGTAAGGTATTTGCATATATTTTTGTTAAAGTGTCCTAAGTTTAATTCATATTTTAAGTTAAGGGACAAAATGCTTTTAACATTTTTAAGCACAGAACCCATGAGATTTCCAGCATCCATTAGTAACATAAATTGCACAATAAATCAATATTTAAACAGTCTTTTTTAAAAAAGGCAGACAGTTGATAACTGTACATGTGATCACTAATACCTAACTTTCATTAAATAATCCATCAAAAATAAAGCATATTTTTTTCAGAGAAGTAGAATTTTAATGTGGCAGTCTATCAGACAGCTATTTGTAGGATCTTATAATTTGGAAAATGTATGACTCAGTGAGAAACTGAGCATTGATATGCAGAAATAAAAATGTATGCTTAAAAGCCAACTTTTGGGTTTTCATGCCGTAGCCATACCACTTTGTATAACACAGAGGGTATCACAGAGGGTGATAGATGACAGTAATTAACTTAAGGATATCAAATGCTGGTTTGGGATTTTGTTTGTTTGTTGTTTATGCAAATCATAGGGAATAAATAGCTAAAAGGCATTGCTAAAGGGATGTAAAATTCTGCATGATGTGAATAGAAGTCCAGATCTGTCATAACAAAGTCTCTGCTTCAAATGACAGATAATTGATAATGTACTTAAACATGGGGAATTGAGTTTAAAAATAAATCTTTGAATCTAGCTGGCATTTGACAGGTCATCAATCAAAGACGTGAGAAGATATGAAAAGGCATGACAGGTGACTAACTGCTTCTAGCTTACATCTTGTGCATGGATGATAAAGAAAGTGAAAGAGGTGTCTATCATTCCTAAGCAGGGAATAGTTGGCTTCAGAGTCCTGGACCAGGCATTTGTCAGAAGCTGGAAACATATTAGAAGAAGAATCACTCATTTCCTTTTTAGTAGAGGAATAGTGAGAGATTGACCCAGCCCTGCTCCCAAACCCAAGATAAAAAACCTATGCTTCCTTATTCTTCTTATTACAGTCAAGACAATGCATGAAATTATCTACATGTGCTGAATTCTTCTTTCTGAAGTTATAACAAAAGATCCCACAAATATCTGCAGAAAGAAACCGTTTTTGAGAGTCCCTGCTTATTTGTTCTCTGCTCTCCTAAAAATGTAATTTAATTGCATTTTATAGTTGCTATTCTCATTTTGAGTGCTTCAATATACACAAAGGAAGCATGCTGAGAAGAAATTGTTTCCTTTGAAAATAACTACATTAATATGATTCCGGAAGATGAGACAGCTAAATGTGTAACAAAAAAGTCATAAAAGACAGCCAGTGGTACCATAAAATCATGCAGTTTCAAAGAGGAACTAAACAGTTCCTGTTTATACTTACTTATTTCCATTGTTTTGCTTTTCTGTAAATTTTACTATTTGACCCAAAACATATATAGTCTGAAATTTTTATGTTGAATTTGAGCTCATCATGAACCAGAGTGTCCAGAAAAGAGTATGCACATTTTCACACTGAAACAAAGCTGCCCCAAGCCTGGCTGCAGACTTGTTGTCTTCATAACTGCTGTTCCCTACCCTTTGTCTCTGGTTGTCTTGCTAAAACAATTGTGGCCCAGGTTTTCTTCTGAAACTACAAACTTGCCAATCACATTGGCATGACCAATTGGTCAGAGCAACCTTTTTCCATTAGCTGGGGTATTTCTATTCATAGCCTAAATGGCCTTTGGAGTCACATTTTTCAAGCTGTTGAACTTGCCATCAGTGAAGGCAAGATTCCCACCCCTTTGAGAATAAAGTAGCAAAGCAATAGGCAGATGTAGCTGGAATAGAGCTAAAAGCATGATTGAGAGAAATACTCTTCTTCATTTTTTGGCTTTGGCTTCTATTTCTCTCTTTATGTACTCCTTTATCAGAGAGAATTCCCTCTCTGCTCATTAGCAAGGATCACTCTCCATAAAATCATAAACCTTGTTCTAAAATCCTATCAGTACTTTTAAAGTTGAAGCATTTAATTGAATGTACAACCTCTGACTCAATGTACCATTTTTGGGTTTGTTTTTTTTTTTTTTTAACAAAAGTATCTTAACATAACCCTGATATATGTGTATGTAAAGAGAACTTCATTCCATAATCACACTTTATTCTAATTAGAAAATTTATCCAGATTTCAAAAGTAACAAGTCCTTTTTTTTCTTATAAATGCAACATTCTTCTTGGGAAAAACAGGTATCTGCCTGGTTTTTAATCTGTCCAATGGAGAATTTTGGGGTGAATTTGAGAAGAGAAGAATTCGTTTTAGTGTTCAGTAGTCTTTATGAGTGTTGTGCCAGAGCTCTATACAGTGTTTCTGAGATTTTTAAATCACCATCCAATCCATGATTTATTTTATGCTGCATTTCTGCACCTGTTTATTCAAGGATGTCAAAATGTTTTACAAACATAAATTGGCAAAAAATCTGCAAGGTTACTGGCCAGTTTTTTAATCCTCTATGCAAAATGAAATTAAGGTGCAGAAAATTTAGATTATTTCTCAAAAATCTGAGCAGCTTTTTGCCTGAGAGAAAATAAGGACAAAATCTTACATCGGCAAATGACTTAAAATAATGTCCAAAAATGTGAATGAATGCAGCGTTTGGTGTTTAAAAAATTATTTTCCTCTATATGAGATTAATGGGGAAGAATAAAGTAGGAGAAGCATATTCAGAAAGATAAGTGAGAAAGTCAGGACAGAAAATTTAAGACCAATTTTGACTACAAAATCTCTTCCTTTCCAGTTTTACTGTGTGGGACTAGACTGTAGTGGCAGGAGTGGACTTTTTTCTCATGCAGTTTTTATGAGGAATAATTAAAATAGATGTTAAAATCAGTATGGTCAGTTACACTGCATTACAGAATATTCCTGCTGTCAGATGCTTGTTCCACTCTTTTGTTATGGCAAGCCTTCCCTCCAGCTGCCAGGAAAGCACTGTTGTGTGCAGGATGAGGGAACTGACACAGCCAAAAGAAAAACAGCCAAAAATGTGCTTTTATAATCACATCACCAACCCCCGCTGATCTTGGCAACAGTGAGTAGGTAACAGAGGAAAAAAAACCAAAAAATTAAGAGTGAGAGAGGAGCAGGATTGCACATACCAGTGCTTACCATTGAGAAAATGCTGCTAGCCAGAATTTGAGGAGAAACAAAAAGGTTAATGGCAAATTTATCCACTCACATTTTAATTTTTGTGGTCTCTTCTATTAATCAATTTGAGCTCGAATAAAATTTCACAGAAACTTACAGGATGAGCAGATCACTTGGGGGAAAATCACACCTCTCAAAATAGGTTGCAATGCATAAGAGGATTCCAGGCACTTTAAAAATTTTGTTTCCAATGACTGCAGCTGAATTTCCACTATGTGTTGAGACTACAATAATCTGAAGTTGTCAGCATCCAAAACACTGCTTTCTGAGCAACATCCGAATTGTCAGCTGCATCAGCCAGTCATGGTGCATCTGGATTGCAGCAGCAGGTAAGAAGTGAAAAATCACTAGTTTATGATTAAATATGACTAGACAGGCAGACTGGGTGTCCTGGGCTTTCTCCAAAATACTCTGTGGTGACCCAGATCAGATGCAACTGATGAGGATGAAGAAGATTCAAACAGACAGCGAGTGAGTTCCTACAGAGATATGCAAATTGTGAGACTGCAGTATGACACAGCTGGTCCCACACACTGCTCTGAAATTTTACTAGAAACGCCTGGTAAGGAATGACTGCCTACATCTGAATTTCTGAGCTAAAGTAATGGTTGTTACCTGGAGGAATAAGATGTCAGTGAAAAGACAGTGAACTTACAGGTAAATAATTCATGCTGGCTGTTGTTATGAACAAAAGGTACAGCAGAAAAGGCCGTTCCAGATAATGCCCCCAAATCCTGCAGCATCAGCTATCAGCAAGGGAGGCTGAGAGTTTTGTGAAGAAACGTTTGGCTAAATTTTGTGTAGAAATCTTCTCACTCAAGATCTCTTACACATCTGGAAAGAGTAGCCAAGGTTTGTAGGCCAGTGAGACACTAATGCTCTCTCCACGAGCATTAAAGGCTGAGAGTAGCTCCATGGAGAGTATTTTATCTTGAGGCCGAGGAAAGGCACCTGTGGGGGGTTAGTAAAGTCTGTGCTTCTTGTCCTGCTGGTATTGTCCCTCTGAAAGCCCTCTGTAACTTGTTCTGACCTTGCTGCCTGCTGATGCAGATAGGTGAAACTTAATGTACTAGTCTCACATATCTGTTAACAGAGGAATGAGACAATATGAACTCTCTTCCTAAAGTGTTCAAAAAAGTTGTCCTGATATCATTGCAAAAAACACCAATGAGCTAAATTTTTCCTCCATCCTGTAAAGGCAGAGACTTAAAAAATATAATCTAGAAAATGGTGAAGAATGAAAAATTCATAGTTCTATCTAAACAGAATGAGACAAACCCAACATTGTAAATATCTTCCATGGATTTGAGAACCACCTTTATGCCTGCTCAAAGCAACAGGCTAATGAGAGATGAAGAGTTGTGTAGAACACTATATCATGTTTGCTGTCATTTTATGCCACAGATCTGCACGGTGCTCATGAAGAAATAATTTAATTTCAATCAGCCTCTTTGCTTCTCCCTTGAAGAGCACATTTTATATTCTTTAAAGTCTGAAAGAGGGAATCAGACACAATTATAACACCTTTATACGTTACGTCATCTAGTAGTTTCACAACTCTAGAAAACAGGTAGGAAGGGTATGACCTGGGATACATCTTATAACTCAAATTAAATTTTCTGAATTTCTAACACTTTAAGAAAACATTGAAAAAGACCAGCTGCTAAATTCCCGTGGCCCTCAGGTGCCTATACTTTCATGGAAGTAATTTATAGTAAGAATTTGAGAAATATCAGTGGGGTATTGTCATAGTAGGAGGCATAGAGTAGGTGCTGGGCTTTGACTGCTGTTTTCAGCAAGTGTCTTTGCTTCAAGTGCAAAATGGCAAATCTGAAATTAAATGCACAGACTGTCATCAGAACCATCATCTAATTTTTCCATCATATACAGGAAAAATTGAAGACAAAAACCTGCCCTGGGCTCTAGGTGGATGAGAATGAAAAGCAAGGAAAGAAGCATGATCCAGAGATAGTGATACTCACTAAAACCAGCTGAGTTAAGATGAAGACATTGGAAAGATAGAAAAGACAGAAAAATTGATTATGGACCTGACAATATTGACATATGTGGAAAATAAACTAAATATATTATGCCAGTCTATAGTTATTTGATGCAAGTGTGTAACAAAGACAGAGAGGTCTATATAGTTAGTGATGAGGAGAAGAGATAAGGAGCCATGGGCTGAAATCAGGAAAAGAAAAAGAAAGTTGATTAAGAGAAAAAACTTCTTCTTAGACATATCCATTAACCCTAGGATCTATCTAAACTACAGCCTTTGGAATTCCTCTGGCTGGGATATTTGAAGACAGAAAACAATTCAGTTTGGAAGATGTGCTACATAACCTCCCACAGTAACTTTTTCTGCTACGTATTTAAGGCTGTAGAGTTCATGAAATGATAGAAAGCAGTGTGGCTTAAAATGATTGAAAGTAGTGGGACAAAAGCTTAAATGTGATATATGCCAAAATTTGACTTGTAATTATTCTTGGTATGGATTACACAGACTTTTGTTTCTTGACTCTAGAATGCAGCAACAGTATAATATAGAATTGACGGAGTTTGTTAAATAGTTTTATTTTCAGGGTTCCTTTTTCATTTTCAATCTGATGCATGACTCAATCTTACTTTTATGGTCACTCAAAAATTTTTTTGAGCCTTAGAAAATGTTGAGCGCTGTGTGAAAATCAGAACTTTTGGAAATTGTTCATGCCTAGATTGAGAATTTTTTGGGTAAAACAAATCCTTCTTCAGCTCTCATTCTAGTACAATGAACTTGACAAAGCTCAGCATCCAAGCATGGCACAGGTATAATGTTAATAAAGTGTGATAATAATCCTAAAACAGCTCCAACATTGTTTTCGGACTGATTATTCATGTTTAGGTTGCATGTTATTGTTATATCTGAACTAAAAGAAATAGACTTTTAAAATTATAGCTATACTCCAATTAAAAAAAAATCCCACGTGAAATTGTATTAAGTCAATTCATCGAAGGAGTCAACATTATTTCTATTTAGGACTTTAATGCAATACTAAGGAATAAGTATATATACCTTGATTCAAAACTATTTTTGTTATATGGTGTATATTCTATATAACAATATATATATCAAGGTATCTTGTTTCTACTGGACCTTGGAGTGCTTCACGTGTAGCCAAAGCCTGAAGTGTGGACAAAGCATTTCAGGACAATGCTGCGTGCAGTTACACTTACTGTATACTTGTAGCTGTCCTCTGAAGACATTTCTTCCACGAGAGTTCTCAGCCTTACATTCATACATTCCTGAGTCCTCCAGCTGCACATTAGGTATTTCAAGCACAGCTTGGGATTTTCTCAGGCGAGCTTTACTTGGATTATGACCATTAACTTTCCTCCAAGAGATTGTTGGAACAGGGCTGAAATATTTAGTAAAATTAATGTTAACACTCTTCTGCTATTGAGAATATAGATTCTGTTATCTGGTAGTTTAAACACTTAATAATCTAAGTAGCAATAAAACATAATCACAATTAAGGTTCATATAATGGTTGATATACTTAACTTTCTATAGGGAATCCTTAATAAATGGATTGCTACACGGAATGTGTCTGTTTCATCCACAAGGGAGGCTGTTTTTATTGAGATCAAGTAAACTACTTGAAATCTCTCTCTCTAGATTGGCACTCTGTGCTTTACTCTTGAATGCTGCCACTTGATAGATCAACAAAAAGAACAACTTCAAAACTTGGATGAATTTAGCAAATTCCAAAACATCCCACTTTTCCTGCAATGAAAGTGCAGCTCAGGTCAATTAGTGAAAGCATCTGTTTAGGTGGGAAATTTCAATACCACTCTTCCTTGGGTAAATTTAAGTGCCCAAAGGTATGGAGACATTTTCTTAGTTTTCTTCAAGTTGCAAAATGGGTTGTGTGAGAAGATATATTAATGGCACTGCTGCTCCTGTCTCACAGCATTGCACTCTTGCTTGTGGCAGCAGAAGGGTTTTTCACTGCAGCTTGCTGTTCCACAGAGCTCTGTGAGGACCCTGGGCCTTTTACATTCATGCTCAGGGAAGAAATGCAATGAATAGTGTTTGCAATCATAAAATTCTCTTTTTAGCTCAAAAACTCATCAGCCATTGTGCACCCAGTGGGCCTTATGGCACAGACGTACAGTTTTCTAAATATGGCAGGTATTTAAGAGGGAAAATAAATAAAAAAAAAGAGAACTGTTGATAAAAAAAAAATTGATTGTGAGCTGAAAACTGGAATGCTTCAGGTATTCCACAAGAAGCTTGAAGGACACCATAAAAGAATATGTAACTTTTTGAAAAAATATATTTTGTATTTATTTCTAGTCTAAGCTTAAATATAAATACAGGGCCTTGTGGCAGTTTAGATGAGGAAAAGCACTTCATAATAGTTCAAATTCAAATTCATTTAGTTTAAATTCAAAACTGCTATGAATTGTTGTCATGATTTCCTGACTTTCACTCACTATAAATGTATGAAGTTTCATTAAGAATATCATCTTTCAATATTTCAGGATATCCAGTTTGAGACACAAAAAATAAGTATGTGACAAGCAAGTTCTGGTTATTCTTCAACCGCTTAGAATCAGGCTGTGAGTTACTGCAGTTGTACTTAAACTGGCAGAAAAAATGCGCCAAATTCTAGTACTTTATAGAGATTAGGAAAATTCCCAAACATGCAATGGATTATCAGAAGATTTGTCTAATTTTAACTCCTGAGTGCCGCATATCACTGAATTTCATTGAGTCTATTAACACCATTACCTTACAAAAACAATATATAGTCCCACATGGAATTCATTTTAATATACCAGAAAGAGAAAAGAATTATTTCCCTTATCAGTTTGCTGCACTGATTAATTAACCTGACAAAATGAACTTCATTGTGACTGTGTATGTATTCATCTTTGAGACATGGTCCCTATAATATCTTGCTATTCTTGCAAAATGATCTTTCATCACTGCCACCCACAGAAGAAATACGTGTATGGAACATTTTTTTTTTGTTTCTCCTTGCTAAACAAAACAGGCTGGTCTCTTTCCAGCACTCCAATTATGTATATGTTTTTCTTTTAATAGACATTTGTGGATCATGTGATGGGTGTGGCTCATAAGACCCCCTTTTTTTTTTCCCTCTATCACCATATAATCTTTTTATCTTTCTCATTTTTAACCTTAAATTACTTTCCTGATTATTTATTTCAAATTTTGGTGTCCTGTGGGCTTGGTTTGAGGACTCTTCTGCAGCCTGTATGGTTCTAATTTATAAAATTAGTTTCCTATTAGAAGTTATTTTACATGATCTTCAGTTAGAAGACTGAAAGAACTTCTCATTCCTATCTGATTCAACATGTTGAATTATAAATTTGAAGGATAAATAGGATATTTCTTTCTGATGCACTAATAAAACTTCCTGTCTTAGCCCCACCAATTATGATATTCCTTTCACATCTTTAACTACATATTTTGATTGTCTATACTTTAGCTATACTAAAGTATACTTTAGCTATACGTTGTCTAAACTGTAGCTATATGTACGCATCAGATGTAGCACAAATAACAATCTTAGTTTCTTTTCTCCCCCTTCTTTAGCTCTCATATTTAATTTCTAATGGCACACTTCATTCTGATATTCAAATTTAGATTCTTTCTTGAGTGACTTGTGGAGATTTTGCAAGTCTTGTGTTTTGCATTCAGCTTTAAGAGTTAACTCTTTGTATGCTTGCTGCCTTGTTTTTATATGGAATATAATTTTGTCATGATTGCTGGCTGCAAAACATCCACCACGGCCAGATAAGGATTTCATTGATCATTATTTATCACAACACAAGTCCACAGTGGGATTACAAATTCTTTATGTTGGTACAGGGCAATAGGACTCAGCAACTGCTGCTTTTTGACTGAAATGAGTGTGCAGGTACACTTTATTTGGGATCTCAAGGGTGTCATACTTGCTGCCTCTTGATAGTTATTTGGCCTTTATCCCTGCTTCCAGTAATTTCTGTGACAAAAATGCTTCTTCTCTGTTGTCATGGAGGAAAATGAGTTCTGCTGAATTACATTAATAAAAGGAATTTCTTTTGATGATGTGTATTTCTGAGTAAAAGTCGAGAGCTTATAAACCATAAAAATTGTCTCATTTAGCCGCTATGAGATAATTCTGAAATTCATGTATTTAGAAAGTTTCCTTTAAATTGCATTTAACTAATCTTTTGAAATTTGCTTTTTTGTTTCCTGCAGCAAGTAAATGTGTATAACATGGCAAACACAGAGAAAACTGGTTGCAGTTTTAAAACAACTCAGTTATTTCTTTATCAGTACGAGGTAGGAAGTGGAACTTTTCAAGGAGATAAAGTTACTTTATCTGTGCAGATTTAATGATTTTGAAGTAAAGTACTCCCATATTACAAATCAGTGTTTGCAGACAACTTGTAGTTCTGTTTAATGAAATTTATTTTCCTTGCATAATTCACAAGTGACACATGAATTTTACATCTGAAATAAAAAGATATCTATACCTCTTTCTCCTCTGTGGCTTCTGTGAGAATGAAATGAAACATATGAGTGAGGATGTGAAAGAATAAAATTGTGTGACTGTTCTAGAAAACTTCTAAAATCTACCATAAAAGCTAACTAACATACACACATTTTTCATCTTTTCAAATAATCCATAGCTTTTTGAAAATAGAGCAACTACAGAAGTATTTCTAGCATTAATATGAGTTTAATGCAATATGCGTAATTATTGAATCTTATAACCCATATAATCCATTTCTATTTTGGTCTCAGAAGATGTTTATGGGAATACAGTTTCCTTGTTTATCATAACACTACATTCAACTCCTGTGAATAAATTAATTTGAGCTTCAGTTGAGTTCAAAGACTTCTCCTAACTTTTAGAAAAAAAAATCCTCTGAATACTACTAGTAAATCTTAGTACTACCAAGAAAATCCCCACTTGATTTCAGAAATAACATCATCAAACTTGACATTAATCTAAACTGAAATGAAAAACCTAAGTGGTCCCTGGTGACTGCGATAGACATTACTGAGTTTGAATTTGAAGAAAATATGAGTTGTAATTTTACCTTTGCATTAAGAAGAAATTATAAGTGTCAGTTTTCAGCAGTATATTATTTGGGATGAGTGCTGTTGAAATAGCTGGAATTCTTCACAAGTTTCAACAGAATATAGAAATAAAAATTAATTGGATCATTTAAAAAATTATTGGAAGCAATTCTTCTTCCTGTCAATTTCATATGTGAAAGAATTTCATTACATCCCTAAAGTACATATTTATTTTGGGAAAGGAGAGAGGTAGAAATAAGAGTAATGGATCTTTTCATGGATCCGAGCTCCTAGTATTTCAAGAATATTTTAAATAGGAATGCATAGATTCCTTTTTCTATACTCGGTTGGTACAGATTGATGTGAAATTTTGAAATACTTTATCTACTACTGTAATTTCAATTCCTCTCCACATGATTTCTCTTTACCAAACATCAGTGTTCTGAGCTGCACCTTCAAACCCACGAGTTCACATCATATGTGATGAAATATATCTTGAAAACAGCTTCGTGCCTATGGGGTCTAGAAAAAACCCTGTATTTTCTTATGCCTCCCTGTCTTGCAACGGTGTTAAATATCTTTAATTATTATAAGATAATTATGAGGGTTAAAATGTCGAGGACTATAATGAAATTCTCTGTCAGATGCTTTCCAGGAATTCCTATCAACCATTGACATCTACCTTTAGAATGTCCCATGTAAATCTGTTCAGAATTTTATGAGACACATTAACCACCTTTTCTTTCATTTGTTTTTTAAAAATAGTTAGCACTCATGAAATTCAGCAGCCATGAGTATGGTGATTTAAAAATTAAGAGAGAATAGCAGCAAATGGTGATGAGCTTGAGCCAGTGTGCAAGAACAAATCCAGGCCTTCAGGTCACTTCAACAGATGCCCATGATTGTGTTAAAAACCTCTATTGGATATATGAATGTCATGTATTAATGTGCATGTGCTTTACCACCACTATTAGCTTGTTCTTTATGGCACAGAGCAAGGACAGTGCCTGCTTGGCTGCATATCCAGCTCCACAGCATTTTATTCACACTTTAAATTATGACATGTTAGAGCATCTCTAACATCTAAAATAGTGCCATGTACAAAGATGATTCGTTTTCTATAATGGTTCATTATTTGCAGTGATTTGTACTCCAGAGCTCCTTTTTACTGGTTGATCAGAGACTAAACTGATGTCTCAATCTTGACACTTAACTATTCAACAGCTAAATTTAGATAACATAGCTGTCCAATACCCTAAGTTAGATGATACAACCAATAGTTTTGGTGATTTATATTTTTTTCCAAGTTCTTAAATT